CGGGAGGCAAATCGTCGCGCGTCTCCTTTTTTGAAGTCCTCGTCCACCACACAGATCGACACACTCCGGAACACTCGTGGTGACATCCTTGTAGAGGAGGAAGATATCTCAGGATCGATTCGTTCACATTTGGGCTAACGGCCTCCAAATGCATAAGTAACAGAAGAGCTGCCCTCAGGTATCAAGGCAGGGTGCGCAGACCGAGCTGATACTCGCGGTCATCATCTGATTATCTTCTACCGACAGACAGTGCCATGTGAGATACCACTTGTTGACTGGGCATGATACGTCGAAACGCAACTCTCGTCCACAGAGCATTCAGCTCGACTTGGCGACAACAGGAGCGCCTCCGAACAGCGCCTCCGTGTACGTTTTCAGGCCTTCCGTTCCATAAACATACGCGCCGACATATCCATCCGGTCGGACAAGCACCAGCGCCTGACTAGAATCATCCCCGACCCCATACTCGCGGAACGCGTGTCCTGCCTTATCCAGCAGCACGACATCGGCTCCTTCGGTCAGCGTCGCAAATGTGGCCTTCTGCTCGTCGGTGACAGAAGGCGATATGACCACGGCGGTCTGCACAGTCCCTGGAGGGAACGAAGCTAAAGCCTGCAGGAACGCAGCGATGATGGAGGAATCGGCGTTCTGCTTGACGAAGATGAGCGCGGTGTGCTTCGTCAGCTTGAAGAGCTTGAAGATCGACGTCGGTCCTTGGCCTTCAAGAGACGCCGCCGCCGAGGCTCGAATTACCTCCAACTCGGGTGCCTCCGGTGCCCTTTCCCCCGCGTGCACGCCGTCCTCATTGCCTGTGTACGCTCGTGAAGTGTCTTTCTTCTCTGGAGAATTCGGATCCACACGGTCGTCCATAACGATCCCGCTCCAACGATAGTTGATATCGAGCATGTAGAAATTCGTGCTCCTGTTGAAACCTTTCTTCGCGTCCTTCTCTTCACGAGTCGTCTTGTACAGACCGCCGGTGAGTTGGAGCATCGTCCTGATTACGGGATGGCGTTCGTCGTCGTAGCTAGACAAAAGAGACGGAGATGCGTGACCACCGCTAACCAGTGCCAGTTTCCAGCCGATGTTCACGGCATCCTGTAGGCCGGAGTTCAGGCCCTGAACGATGCACTTGATGTGAGCACACTTGCAGGTTCGTTTATCACGAACAATACACTGACCTGGCCACCGCTTGGAGGGTGGATATGTGCAGCATCTGTGTCACGGATCAGCGACGGATCGTAAACTAGTCTATGCAAGACCCACCTCCAGCAACGAACACACGACCTTCCGAGAACTTTTCCACCATGCGACTACTCGGCCTGTGGTGCGAAAATGGGACGTCAGATCGAGAGCACAGAAAAGATCGATGAACGTGACTGGACCTGTATTGAGCTGACACCCACAACACCTTCGAGACCTTCACGGACGGGAGAGGGATGACATCGTTCACTCCTTTCACAATATCCTCGGGATGTGTCGTGAGATGCTCTGCGTTAACTTGTTCCCCCGCCACGAGTAGCTGCCCCAGACGGGGGGTATCATATGCCGTTGGTCGTATCATCCACCTGTTTTCCTGTTTAGAGCCCAATGTGCAATGCGCTCAAGCCACCAACTCACATCACGCCGTTGGAGTCGGACCAGCTGCTGAAGTAGGCATCTGCCTAATGTATATGTCAGTTCATCGGCGATGCTCCATGTGGATCGAGACTTACCTCCGTCCATGGCTTTTCAAGCTCCACATCGCAAACCAACCATCTACCATGGAGGTCTTCGCCCTTGAAAGAGAGATTTAGGAGTTTTCGCGTTGCGCCTGGGAACATCGACCTTCAATATCCTCTCCTCACAGCGGCACTCATGATACGCTCACCCTTGGCTCCATCTGCTCCGACAATCCAACCAACCCGGAACGTGTCTTGCACCTGTTCACCATCGTCGCCGTGCTTGAGAATATGCACTGTCACCCCAGCCTCATCCTGCTCAAAACTACGAAGCGCAGTCCCGGTCTCGATATAAACGCCGTAGGTTTTTAAGATATCCGCGAGGAGGGCTACAAAGCGTGACTGTCCCAGCATCCTCATCTCAGTCTGCTCCGCAGATAGAGGTTATCAGCGCAATTATACTCCAGGAAGTTTCTTCAATGCTCACAAATGGGCGTGCAGGTGTGGGATCCATCTCTTGGGAGAGCGAGGCGATGACGGGCTCCGGCACGCCGTCCTTGAAAATGCGAACCTGCGGTACAGGCCTCGCAATTTTTAAGTAGTCATCAAGGATTCCAGCGAACTGGAGCAGTTCGAGAGATCGCGGCTGTCGTTACCAACGGATTAACCGGTCAGCAAAGGCAGCTCCCTTCCTATTTGTGAATTGGGACGAACCTGAATACCTGGGCCCCGTTCTCCTGCCTGCAGACCCAGTTCTTTCTCGATGACGCGGACAGGGGTGCCGTGCTGAGCGAGAACGAGAGCAGTGACGAGAGCTGTCGGTCCTCCTCCGACCTGCGAGCAGGAACCAACGCTGGTGAGCGATATTGATTGAATGCATCCACGATCCATGAAGACGCACGATTAGTACCGTCCGTGCATCACGATCTGTCATCTTGGAGAAAGTTAGGCCGGGGTAACTGAGGGACATTGACGGTACTTGCGGGTTTATATGTATGGGTGCCGTCTCGCGAACATGACTGCGCTGTGATTGCTCGGGTCACACTGTACCTCCGGAAGGCGTCGCAAGTGATCCACTCCGAGCGCCCATGAGCTCGATCGACGGCCAAATGCAAGTTGAGCGTTGAACGATAAACGGCTTCTACTCAGACGTACGCGCGTCGCTTCGGCCAATCACCTTGCGCCAAGTTAGTATCGATGCCGCTCGTACACGACCGCCTCTAGCATTGCCCGATCCTTACGATCTCCGAGACCATCGGTTCCATAAATTTAGATTTTACATCATCCGCCATCTACCATCTGGTGCAAGCAAGCCCGATATGATACCTCTGCTGCCCCTCATGCCTCTCCTCCAAAGAGATGCTTGTTGATGCCTGCCGCCTCGCCCACGTACGCTCCGACGTACCCATCGGAACACAATTACAAATATAGGCGCGTTTCCCTCGACTTCATATCCGGAGAACGCGTGGCCTTCGGCGTCCACAAGCGTTATATCGGCGTCCACCACAACCTTCGATTGCTGCAGGCCGGCGTCCTTCGCAATCACGGCCAGGGTCTGTAGCGTCCCGGGTGGGAATGTTCCTAGCGCAACCGCCGCCTCGCCCATAGCCGACGTGTCGACACCTTGCGGCAAAAAGACGAGTGCTGTATGCTTCATCTGCGCGAAGAAGTTGAAAATCTTCGTCGTTTCCCCCACTCGCCAACCCTGACGACGATCCGTCGGGCGCCACGTGGGCGATGCTCAGACCTGGTGCATCTGGCGCTCTATCGCCCGCGTACACGCCATCGCCCTTGCCGACGTACGCGTATTCGCTCGCTTCCTTGCCTTGGGACCCGGGGAGCATGCGATCGTCCACGACGATGCCACTCCAGCGGTAGTTGATGCCGAGCATGAAGAGCGCCGGATCGCCGCCCAGTCCGCGTTCGACGCCCTCTTTAGGCACGCGATGGAACATCTCCGTCGCGCGGTTGATCATTTCGCGGATGATGGGGAGGCGCTCTTCGTTGTAACTCGTGAGGAGGGTCGGTGGAGCGAGGCCCTTCGAGACGAGCGCAAGCTTCCAACCGGATTTGTACTGCAGATATACATACGTCAGATCGTGACCTAGGGAAAGGCGTGGACGAAACCTACGGCATCCTATACTCCTGAGTTCATGCCCTATGCGATGCTGCTCGTCCTCAGTACGTGATAAGAGCGTCGTCTGAGATGCACTGACCTGAACTCCCGTAGGTGGATGGATACGCGCAGCGTCTAGGCAAACAGCAGTCAGATCTCAACAAGGCAAAAGATCTGAGTTGCATCGAACACACCTCCAGCCACGAACACCCTCCCCTCGGAGAACTTGTTGACTATGCGGCTACTCGCCCTAGGGCCAAAACATCAGTAGGGCGAGCGCTTGTGTTTCAGCAAGAACTTACCTATACTCCGACGCCCGTTCGACGTTAATAGTACGGTCTTTTAGCCCAGTAGCGTCCCTAATCCATCGAGTAATGGACGCAGGATCAACGGCCAAGGCCGTCGGATCGAGGGAAGGTCCGCCAGCAATCAGCGAGTACAGGTCGGGTGTGTCCCACTCAGTCGGACGGAGCCACACCCTGGCAATACGAGTCCTTATGTCGATCCGATGTCTGTTCACCAGAGACCGTGGACGTACCCTCGTTCAGCTCGTGAATCAATTGGAGAGAAACTGCGATAAAAACGTGTTTCGATGTTCGATGGCGTGTGCAGCGATTGGAGACCGTGCTAGTACACGTTCGATCGAGGATGTTCGTTCAAGTCGAAAGTAGTCCATCTCGCCTCCGCCATGTTCTTCGCGGGATTCAAAAGCATCGTCGCCACGCTGTGGTCAGTTTCCGCTTCACGATGCCCCCAGCTCGCATGCAGACTCACAGATAGTTCAGGTCGATGGCTGACGCAGACGGGCCGGAAATAGCTCGATCTGTATATCAGAATATGTTCGACAGCACGTCAGATCACATCGACCCCGACGACATCGCGTACGCCCTCGACGAGGCCATCACGAAACTGCGGATTGTCCAGCCTGAACCTCTCCGATGGGCACCGTATATTCACCTGGGGATTTGAATACGTATGTCATTGATACAAGATGTACGACAGAAGAGGCCGTTCATAGAGGCCTACAGTGAATGATATTGTTTGTTCCAGACTCAAGCCTTTTCACCTACACACTCTCCGAAGACGACTTTGAGGTACCGGTGGACATCGTCAGCTTTCGTGGTGTACGCGCCGACGTACGAATCAGGGCGCACGACGACCACTGTCTGCTCGCTGCCGTCTCCCACTGGGCATCCATAGTGGCGGAAGGCGTGACCCTCTTTGTCGTGCAGCACCAGGTCAACCTCTTCGCCGAAGGTAGGTTCTCCAGTGAAAGCTTCGGGCAGGACGACGACAACCTGGGCAGTTCCAGCGGGGAAACCACAGAGCGCCTCCTGGATATCGGCGAAAGCAGCAGAGTGCGTGGCGGCCGGCACAAACAACAGGACTGTATGCGTAGTGAGCTTGAACAGCTTGAAAAGCGACGTTTCCTCCCCGGGGTGCAGAGTATACCCTTCACCCGCACGCACGACCTTCAGCCCGGGAGCCTCCGGCGCCCTGTCGCCCGCTCGCACGCCATCGTCGTTGCCGTAGTATGCCCGAAAGACGCTCTCCTTCTTCTGCTCGCCCACCAATCGCTCGTCCACGACGGCCTCGCTCCACCGGTAGTTAATCTCGAGCATGTACACAGCGCTGTCACGTTTGAACGCCTTCATCTCCTCCGACCTCATCTTGGTCCAGAGGCCGCCCGCGAGCTGGAGGACTTCCCGGATGACAGGCAGGCGCTCTTCGTTGTAGCTGGAGAGGAGCGAAGTGGGGGCAAGGCCTTTGGCGACCAAGGCGAGTTTCCAGCCGAGGTTGACGGCATCTTGAACCCCCGAATTGAGACCCTGCATTGAAGCGTGGATTGAGCGCATAGATCTAGCTTAGTGAGAGGCTGTCACGTACCTGGCCTCCAGTCGGAGGGTGAATGTGAGCGGCATCTGAAAATACGGCGTTGTTGAGCATGTACGTCGGCTAGAGCGTGCACGATCTGACCTCCGGCCACGAATACTCTTCCTTCGCTGAATCGGTCGACCATACGACTACTCGGTCTACACGTTCAACGGGGTGAGGGATAGCGCTATCGAGCCAGTGCGGAAAGACTAACCTGTACTCCGAAATCCAGTCGACCTTGGCCAGTTTGATGGCAGGGTCGGATATGATGTCGTGGGCGACTCGTAGGAACTCTTCAGGGTGCGCCGCAAGATACGTCGTATCGATGCCATCACCGACTATTGTGGCTTGCGCGAGATCTGGGGTGTCGAACTCCGTCGGTCGCACCATCAGACTGATTGGCATATCGCCAAGAACAATCAAGCTCAGAATTCTGGGAAACATGCAGCTACACACCATCGTTCGCGGGGATGGCCGAACCAGTATTGGAATCGCGTTGCCTGAGAGGTGTGCATGAGCCAACGTTCTGCAGACTGTGACGAATGAAGAACCAACGTCTGTCCAGGGCTTCTGCATGCGCACGTCGGCGACGACCCACCGCCCCGCATGCTGGTCGCCATGGAACGATAGACCAAGGAGCTTGCGAACAGTACCTATTCGACGATTGGTATCAATACGGCGCTCATATCAGATGATCGGACACGGCTTGCCTCTGGCTCCGTCAGAACCCACGACCCAGTCGACGTCAGACGTTTCGACGACCTCCGTCCCGTCCTCGCCGGTATTGGCGAGGCTGACGGTAACCTTGTCGGGATGCTGCTCGAGCCCGCGCAGCGCCGTGTTCGTCTCGACGTGAACACCATGATCCTTCGCTAATCTATCCGTAAGGAGCGCGCACAACCGCGACTGGCCGATCATGACTCCCTTCGCCTGAAAAAAATTGCACGACTGATCGACCAACGTGCAGCCCGCGCCATGCTACGAGGACTCACCATAGGGCGGGATGGACTCGGCTCCATCTGCGTCCTGGGAGCGACTGCCTCCGGCACAGCCTGACCGAGCTTGTACATCCGCGCGGGAGCAAGGTCTTGCGCGATCTTCAGGACATCTTCCAGAACACCTGCGAAGGAGAGCAACTCCTGGGTCCTCGCCTGCAAGTTCTGTAAGGGAACGTTCTCGAGGGAGCTTCATACCCGAAGTCCCGTACCTGGATGCCGGGTCCTCTTTGCCCTAGATGTGTGGTCTTGTCCTTCTCGATGATGCGGAATGGAACGCCGTTGCGAGCGAGGACAAGAGCGAGAATCAAACCTGTGGGTCCAGCTCCGACCTGTAAGAGTTACTTGAGCGTGATACTTGAGTGGAACACGGATATATGCGCGCACAATGAGGATAGATGGAGACTGAGAACGTCGTTCGCCCATATTGCAAACCAAGTGGCGAGATAAGCTGAACTTTCGAGTAGCATGAGATATACGGTAGCTGGAACGTGTTGTGTACGGGTGAAGGATCCTGGGCTTTATATGCGTCCAGCAGCCAGCGATGCGTGGGGTCGACATCGTCGCCTAAGAGCTAGGCCCTCTCCGTCTTCCGTCCTGTCGTGACATTCCAGGGGATCGGCTATTCTCGAGTACGTTGTCCAGGCAGTGCTGTGCGTCAGCCTTCGGCATGGACGATGAACACGAAACCGTTGGGATCGGTCGACGCGTCGTCGCGGCAGGAGGCAAGTTTACGCGTCTGCGTTCCGCGGCAAGCGTCCGACGTTCGAGGCGTCGTCGCAGAAAGGCATAAACCACATTTTTCCGAACCTCCATATTCCACTGGACACACCTTGGTCGGATGTCACCAGAAGGAACGTTCGAATGGGAGAAAAATCCTCGACACCTGACGCGTCTACACGAAGCAGCACCGCTCGACAGATCTGGCTTACACAAAATCCTTGAACGCGGCATGTTATGTAATAAATGGAAGCATGGCATCCCCAAGTTCGATGTATCAAACTGTAGCGCAAGACTGAAGCGCATCAGGAATCGACGTTTAAATCACGAGTAACCGCCCTCCAACTGCGTGTCGATATCCAGCAACATGGTTGCACGAGCAGGCGATGTCATTGATCTGAATTTTACGATTCACTACCGACGAAAAGTGAAGTCCGCATGAGGTTTCCGTCCGTGCGTTTGATTCCGCCTGTGTTCTAGCAGGGAAATACATACGTGCGGCATCAGAGAAAGGGAGGCGACGTCAATGGCATATTCACACTGACTTTATCGATCGAGTACATGCCTTCAGCCATGAAGCCCTTCCTTCTTAAACCTTGTTGACCATCCTGTGACTTGTCCTGGCGGAGGACGAACATCGTCTACACAAACCCCCGAGATGCCGGTGAGAGGGCACGCCGCGATAGGCTCTGCTGGCGCGATGAGGTTGCAACCATCTCTCGGAGCTCCGCCCTTGCTGGGGCGGTACGGGTGCATCTTCATCAGGGGGCGGTACAACCTCTGGAGCCCCCGCAGGGCACCGATGGACGACTGTAACCTTGACTTCGGGCTGAAATAAATCTCATCAGTAGACTGCAAAGACGCCGTGCGTATTTTCAGAAACGAACCTGGACGCCCACGCCCCTCGGTCCCGGCCGACTCATTGCTCTTCTTCTCGATGATGCACGTAGGCAGTCCGTCGTGCGAGAGCATAACAGCCGTCAGCAGACCTACGGGCCCTCCTCTCACCTTCGTGCAGATATTACGGTCAGCGAAACAGGATCGAGGTCGACAATCGGGTGACGACGTCGACACACAAGTGACAGCGACGTTATTCTGTCGTATATCTCATCGCATAAGTATTGGACTTCACTGAATTGCGAATACCAGAGCACCGGGAAATGCGCTCAATTCACAGAAATCCCAGGGCGGCTTAACAGTCGAGCCGTCCCTGCTTCGTGGAGGCGGAAGTAACGTTGAGCACAGTGTCATAGCACACCGACCGACGTCAATGGCAGCAAAGCCGCAGTAGTGGCATTAAGGATAGTTCTGTGCTGCCTGACAAACTTGAGGTGCGCTGTCGGAAGAAGTGGCGGCTGTCCGCTCCTTCCCTCCTTCTCTTTGCCCTTGCCGTCGACATCGACAGCGGCGCGAGGAACTTCGGTGGGTATGGCAAGCGGAGAAGGGGTGAGCTGGGGCAAAGTATGGATCAGGATTGCCATCGTGCACGCCCAAGTTGACAGCTTGCTCCCGCGTCGCTTGCGCTCAGACTGCGAGTCTCGCACTGGTGGTATGGAAGACGTCTCGATGAGCTTCGACATCTCGGTCTGCTGCTGCTGCATGCGCATGCAACCAACGTTCTCGGGGCGACGCGAGCTCCTCCCAACTGCGACGTGGTGTGAAAGGCGACCTTGGAGCGTCGGCGGACGCCGAAGGCAGCGGGTTGCTGCGATATCATCACGTGCCCGTGGCGCCTCTATTGCTTGGGCTGAAGTCTGCTGCAGTGCTTTGCGCGTTCATGTAACAAATCAGAAGTCGCCCAGCATACACCATCTTCGTTGTATCTGGACTCGTGGGTCCATGCGTCAAGGCTCGACACTCAACAGTAACATCGCCAAAGCGATGCTGAGGTGCTGGCGGACGTCCGACGCCCTCAGTGTGCCCCTGCGTACACGATCAGGCGAAGATCATTTAAAGCAAGCAGTAGTTCTATCTGAAAACGCTGCGTCGTGATCAAGGAGTGTTCTGAATGTGGCACCGCGGTGAACAGCGTCTGGTTGGGTACTCCGGACGCCCGATAAGTTTGAATCACCGGGAAAATCAGATTTGACTAACCTTACCCCTTTCTTCTATCTCGCGGGCGGAAACTGCGAATGTGTTTGGAAAACCGATAGCATAGTAATATATGATGGGTCACCCAACATAGACCCATGATCACATTTTCTTGGAAGGCGTACGAAATTTCTGTTAAGTTCGACGTTTCGGGTTAGTAATGACTCTGATCTGAAGTTCTGGAGAGTTCTCAGTTCCTTCAAGGCGGACAAGACGAAAGCTTGATTAGTGCGTCGGCTTCATGAAACATGGGACATCGACGCGCTAGTGTCTCTGCAGAGCTACATCACACCCCGTCAGGCATGCTATGGATAATCTGATCAGAGCTATTTCTACGAGCGCGATGCTGTGATCCCCGCGCCTCGCATCTGCAGAGCATATATAAAGGAACAGTCCAGTCCGTCGATACAGCGAGCAAAGTGACCAACATGCAAGACGAAGTCGAAGCGGATACGACAACCGGTATGTTCAGTCACTTTTCTCTGCCGTGGTGATCGACTGGCGTTCATAATGACTGATTCCCTTGACCGTACGCAGAACCTATCACAGTGGGCCGAATCGTTCATGGCCAAGATGGTCGCAGCATTAATGGCGGACAAAAGATCTGCGAGTGCGCGGGTAAGTCTGTTTTGCTCTGCTGCTTTAAATATTATCCAACTACACCTTGCAGCAGCTACTTCATCTGAGGCGAACGAACGCTATGATATAGCACTCCAACTCCACCAGAGATTCTGCCAGAACAGCGATCTCGACGCCGCAAAGCAGTGCATCGAGCACTATGAGGCCCTCCTATTGGAGGCACAGGGAACCACTTCCTTCAGCGCGACAATCCCGAATCCGGAACTGGATATTTCGCTTGACCCCCGCCCCAAGCTATATCACATACTCATTCGGCTGGCTGATCTATACGTGGATCGTTATAGGCACAGTTACGACCAATGCGATCTGGAGCTTGCGGTGAAATATGGGCAAGAAGCCTTGTCTATATGCCGCACGGCGGGAATACGCTGCCCCACGGTACTAGGATTATTCGGGAACATTTTGGATAGCAACGCGGAAGACGTCTCCCGGAAAGAAGATAGGATCGTTGCAGAGTCGCTCTGCAGAGAAGCTATCTCACTCTGCGCGACGGGAACCCACTTGGCAGCAACTATTCGCCTTAGTCTGGCATGGACTCTGCAGATGTTATCCAGAATTAACGGATCTCACGCTTTGATCAACGAAGCAGTCGACATCCAGCGACAGGCCTTGGTTGACCTGCCTCCGTCTCATTGTTACGATCAACATCGACACCTGCGATTCCTAGGGGTGCATCTACACTACCGATACGAAGTTTTCGGAAGACCAGAAGATTTGGATGAATTCCTTGATGTTTCCGCGCAGGCCGTGCACTTATGTCCAGAGATGCACATTGATCGATGCAAGACCGTAACTGAGATGCTCTGGGCGCTATATGCGAAGGCTGTGCGCTCTGGCGCTGTCAATGAGCTCAACAAATCGATTGAACTTGGACTGAACACTCTCAAAGAAGTTTCTGGTGCTGGGATGGGGCGCGCCAGATGCCTTGGTGTGGTAGGAGATCTGCTCGCCCTTCGGCATGAGCTCGCTCCATCAGATGGGCGCGAACTCGAGAAGTCAATCACTCTGACCCGGGAAGCTTTGCAGCTATACCCTCCCAACCGAGCAAACTATAGGGTGTGCGTGGACCGCTTGGCACTCGGATTGCGTTTGCAGTACAACTGGACTGGAGAGATAAGTTGTCTCGAAGAAGCTATTCAACTCGGGCGTTCTTCAATCGATTCAATTCCAACTACCCACCCTCAGCGATTCATTCCCGCTCGCAATCTGGCGCATTCACTGATGCTCCGCTTCAACGAGACAAGGCGCATCTCTGATCTCCATGAAGCCATCAAATGGGATCGTAGTGCCCTGGCAAGCATTGGGACCTCACATACGTCCTATCCGGAGATTTCTGCTCAAGCTGTCTCCCGTCTTTGCATGTTATTTGACGCTCGGGGCTCGTTCGAGGCTTTGGAAGAAGCGATTACCCTCGGCAACACCGTCCTGGATACGATGGCTTCCGATCATATCCAACGCAGCGATGTTATCCTCGAGCTGTCAAAAGCTCTGTTACGCCGCGGGAGACATCAAGGGAACGTCGCGGACATCGACCGCTCCATCTCGGAGCTAGCACGTATCAAGGAAGTCATGCTTCAGCGAACAGACGGTCCTGAACTTCTGAGCACCCTCGCCGACTGTCATATCGTCAGATTTCGCTTCAATCGCGGCTACAAAGACGCGAACGATGCCTTGGAGATCATGACTGGCTTATTGGATAAGCTGCCTCCCGGGCGTCCCGAGAAGTATCAGTACCTCGTGAGTACAGCGGAACTCCACATGGAGATAGGAACACCTTACCGGAGTATCCGGGTCGCACTCTCGCATTTAGCCAGTGCTCTATCCGACGAACACCGGGACGTTCGTTCTCGGATTGAAGGAGCACGTCGCATACTTGATATCGCTGTGTCGCAATATCAGGATATCGTCTCCTCTGAGGCCGCAGCAGATCGCCAACTGCTGGATATCTTCGCTCTTGTGGGGGGACTTCTGCCCCGAGTGGCTTTCTTTGATCTTCATCTTCATACCCGACTCCAGTCTCTAGCTATCGGCCAGAGCATCGCTCTCACCGGCGCATCTCACGCGCTCAACATCGGTTCATCTCAGAAAGCTCTGGAAATCCTTGAGCAGGGCCGTGCGGTCTTCTGGACCCATGCACTACGCTTGCGCTCTCCGTTCGAGGCAGCGCCCAAGGAGCTCAGAGCACGATTGTTGATCCTTGCCCGACAGCTGGAGAAAGTGCGCGACAGCTCGTTTACGGGCGAGAACCCGGGGGCCGTCGAAGCGGACATCGCACGGAGAAGGGGTCAGATCGAAGAATTCAACGCGCTGCTCAACCAGGTTCGCAAACTACCTGGACTGAACAGATTCCTGCTGCACGACGAGTTTACGACGCTGAGAAAAGCCTCCGAAAGAGGACCGGTCGTAGTGTTGGTTTCCAGTGCGCTGGGGTGCCACGCTATCCTTCTCAAGCAGGGGGGCGACTGTGTAAGCATTCCTATCGAACATCTTCCTGATATTTGGCTCGCACATTCCGGCACGGAGTGGCGATCGATCATCGTGGAGGCGAGGGCGGAGATGCGCGACTGCAGAAAGATGAAAAAATCGAAAATCCCGAAGGCTCGAAGGACGGCTGCCGACGAAATCTTGCGCCAGTTATGGATTGAGGTGGTGAGACCAGTCCTCAGTGCTCTAGGGCTCGAAGTATGAGATAACCCTCTACATTATCGTGGCATAAGGCTCACCAGTCCCTTCTAGCCCGCCGAAGGTCGAAACCGTCCTCGCATATGGTGGTGCCCTACTGGAAACTTTGCTCACTTACCGATCCATGCAGCCGGTGCCGGCGGAGAGTGGTGCTCGGATTACGTCGTCTCCTCCTATATACCGACCATCGGGTCCCTTCTTGCTGCCAGAAACGCGTATTCTCCCATCCTCAAGGAGGACGTTCAAGCGCTCGTCGCTGCAACGCCTCGGTCGAGCATGTCGCAGTGGAGCGACCTCATCAACACGCGCGAAGAAGCGAGAGCGATCCGTGCGGTCTTACCAAGCGGATCCACGATGGAGCTGCCTCCCGCAGACGACGCTTGCATTGAGGGCGGAAACGGGATCACGGCGGAGACGCTGCTAAAGCTGCTCCCACAGACGAACATCCTTCACCTCGCGTGCCATGGCCATCAAGATCTGGAGAATCCGTTGCAGAGCGGATTCATTCTGCGTGACGAGAAACTCACGATCGAACGACTCATGCCCGTACCCCTCCCTCGCGCGGTCATGGCATTCTTGAGTGCATGCGAAACAGCCAAAGGTGACTTCGTGAGTACCAATACCGGTCGAGATCATGGTGCGACTGAACAACGTGCCCATGCAGAATCAGCCTGATCAGGTGGTCCATCTCGCGGCCGTCATGTTCTTCGCAGGATTCAAAAGCGTCATCGCTACGCTCTGGTCAGTCCCTGTTTGCGGCTATCCACCTCTATTATACCGACTTACAATCAAATGTAAAGGTCCATGGCGGACGCGGACGGGCCGGAGATAGCTCGATCTGTATACCAGAAGATATTCAGCGGCAACTTGGATCACATCGACCCCGA